TAAGCCCATCACAAATTGTGTACACTGAAATAGTAATTAAATAAGCCATTGGCACCAGTCCAAGATGCTACATCTCTTCAAATAGTTATGTAATAACATACAACACTAGATTAAGTCATGAGAGATGTTGTTTAACAATGTTGAGCATATATTTGCAATCTGCCATTAGTCACAGCAGCAATCAACATTTATGTGATTCATTAAGTTGTCGCATGCTGGCTTTAACTCAGCATAATCTAACAGCAGTTGCCTTTATTACCATTAAAAAATAATTATAAAATAATGTTGGCGGCAATCTGGAATATTTCCTTACAGCTTGTTAATAATTTATTTCTTTGACTCCTATTAAAATAATGTGTATTTAACGGTTTCGTATTAATGAGGCAAAGCAAAATAAAGCTAGAGGGAGCACTCTGTGGTGGAGATACCATGACACATCTGTTTATTCAGTATGTCACCCCCTCGCCACAGTCAACGCTAACCTTCACAAACATCCTAATGTTTGTGGACATCTGGGGTGATAACTGACATTAGGGCGTGCATTACAGCTGATTTGAAATGATGTGGAAGCTTTGCACCTGGGGAGATTCATTTCACTGAATTTGGGTTATGTGAGAACAATACTAATATAAGGTATGTGGCTGTGAAATTTTTAGTTCCCCCCCCGCCAAAAAAAAAAAAACCCAAGAAAAGTAGGGAGGTACTGTACTCAATATAAGGCTTTATGTAAGTAGTACAACTTTATCAGAGGCAGTGGCAGACAAAGTATGTATAGTAAATTCAGAAATAATTTATCAGGAATCTTAGCTCATTGCATCCATTGCTAATTGAGCAAAGTAAACAGGGACAGGATTACAGTAGCTTAATTGGTTATAAGGAGACGATTCTGCAGTCCTTTACTCAGCTTTGTCCAGCATGTCGCCAAAAAATACTGATGTCAGAATAGTTTTTTTCTGAAGCACTTCACATGCCCTCTGACGTTTGGCACTTTCACCTGCCGATCGTTCAAGACTGCATCACGTTGAATAAAGCAATTGGGCAAGCTCGGATGTTGGCCCATGGCAAGCTGGTGGTCTTACTACGTTTTAAAAAAACCGCGGTTGGATATCATTACACCCCTAGGCCCGTATACATGAAAGCGGAATAGAGACAGAATAGCCTATACCAGGTATAAATCAATGGTTTTACCACTCTTGCTATGCATGAACATGGTATAAGTTAAACTGCGGTATAACTTTAAACCTCAAATAGGGAGTTGTATGCACAAATATGGAATAGCTTAATCTGTGGTGTAAATACTGCAGATTTCCTGGTGTAACTTATACCAACCAAGGGGTAAGTTTAAGGAGTGGAATAAGACAATTTGCAGTCTGTTTTCAGTGGATGTCTCAAAACTGTGCCTTCTGTTTTTAGGATATTGGCATGAAATTATGTTCAAATTACCCTGTATAGATTGATACTCATTTGGAGATGTAAATTTTCAATTCATTTTATACTTGTCTTTACCAAAAGAAGTATAACCGAATGCCTGAACAAATATTCAAGGTTACGGTCCATATTCATTTAACCAGCGAAATGATCGGCAGTCAGCCTGGCCCTGACTCCAACCCCTTACATATTGTCCTCGATATGTTCAGTTGGCTCCACCTCATCGTCCTCAGCGTCATCTACGTGGAACCCTATTGTGATTAGGGAGTTTCAGCAAACTCCCCCGAAACGTGTACGCGAACATCCATCTTTTGTGCGTTAACCACAAAACAGAGGTCGAACAATAGGCAGGCGTTCGCATACTAGCTCACGAAAACTCCCCATTCAGAGTAATAAAGCGCGAGGGCAGGCCTATTAATACACTGAACAAAAATATAAACGCAACACTTCTTATTGTGAGAAATAGGACCATGTTCAGAAGCTCATTGTACTTTCATTGAGTGTTGACAGATTGTATGACCATATTGCAATACATTTCAATCAATGATTTAAAAAGACAAACAAGAATCTCGCAATGGCGTGATGATAAAGGGGATGGGGTCTATTGTCCAAATTTCACAAATCAATATTGGGTATGTCCATCTTTGGCCTGCTGCACTGCTACACATCTCTGCTGTGTGGACTGTAACAAATGGTCAATGGTGACTTGGGGGACATGTTCCCACTTCTCTTCAAGAGCAGTGCGGAGTTGGCGGCTATTGGCCGAAAATGGGAATCAGTGATGAACTTGTTGCTTGTGGACATCCCAAAGATGCTGGAAGGGGGACAAATCCAAGGAATAAGCCAGCCATTCAAGCACACAAATGTTTTCAGGCTCAAGGAATTCTGTGCATACACGGTGACTTGGGTCTGGCATGGTCATGCTGGATGGTTATTGCTTTGATGGATGAATGGTAGAACGATAGGCAGCAGCATCTCACCGTGAAATCACACTGCATTCAAGTTGCTGTTCATGAACTGCAGTTGGGTGCAATGTCCTTGGAATATTCCCACCCAAACCAGCACTCCACCACTATGTGCCACCATGCGCACCACCACAATGTCAGCATAATGATCCCCCGTCCATCCGCTCTGTGAAGTTGGAAACGTGACTTGTGTGTAAAGAAAACAGTCCTCCATTGTGCCATTAGCCATCAAATGTGTCTATTCACTCAGTCGAACCAATTTTCTCATCGAGCTGAGGAGAGGTCCAATCCACAAAGGGCAAAAGACGTAAAGATATGGACTACCTGGAGATTATTTTTCACGGTTTCGGCAAAAATGGGGTGATGGTGGGGACCAGCTGTCTCATCTGCAGTGGGAGTTACTGGTCTCAAATGATCGCAGAGATGGAGAGTCCAGATATGGCGGGCTTGGGTGGGGGTTGTCACACATGGTCGTCATAATGTGGGCAGTGTGCTGTCTCTCCTCATTCCTCAAGAAGGTGTTTTATGCGACTTATTGTTGAAACATGGACATTAAGAGCCCTTTCAACATCCCTGAGAAACAGTCCTGCATTGAGCATGCCAATGGCACGCTCCCTGATGGCTCGAGTCATTTATGGCATTTTGAACGATGGCAGAACTGGGACTTTTGAGGTGGCCTTTTATTGACCAGAGTACAGGATGTGCCTGGGCTGACTGTACCTGATTTCAGTAGCTCTGGATCATGCCCCACCTGTCTGACAGGCCAATTTTGACAAAGGGCATGAACTTGACAATGATATGGAGAAGGTGACTGAAATGCACACAGACCAGTGGCACACAACCTTGGTCGCATAAATAAACCCAACTAAGCCAACCTCAGAAATAATTATGCGGAACATTGAAAGGACTAAACTGTTGCGTTCATATTTTTGTTCAGTATAGATTTGTGGTAAACGACAGCAATAAATCATTGAATAACCCTACGACTACGGAATAGCTTATTTGCACAATAGTTATTCCGCAAATAGTTAAACTATGTTTGGTGCATACCAATTTTCTTATACCACAGGGGCTGCAATAACTATTCTCGGTATAAGCTTACACCTAGTACAAGTTATACCTCATTCATGCATTCGGGCCCTAGTGTTTAGACATGGTTCTAGCATGCCATATGCGGTCTGCTTTAAGTATCAGAGAGATTCCATTGTTTGCCTAGTGCAACCTCATTTAAATAATTCACCCAATTTACATGGAAACACCCCTTGCAATATAACTATGCCCTCGATATTAGTCTCTCTGCCCAGCTGCGTGCAGAACTTGAGGAAAAATTCAAGTTTGTCCATGCAAATGGAGCAAAACAGGAATAGGCATAGCGAATGGTCTGTGCATGAATCGTCAGACGAAGTGCATGTGGGAAAATCGGGCCCTTGGCGGCTGTTTCAATAAACTTAACTTGTCTAACCAAGTCAGACCATCCGCCGAGTGAAAAGTCGGTCCTCCGACAGACCATATCTGTCAGGTGTTTCAATAAAACAAAAGTAGGATGTCCAACCATGGTCCGATGTGGACGGATTGTTCATCACTTTCCGTTTGAGGTTACGTGATAATTTACACCTCAGCGATGGCGTTAAAATATTCAAAATAAGTTAACGTTTTTTGAAAAAACAGCCCTGGGGAGCGGTTCCCAAAAGGTTAGTTGCTTAGGGTAGGATATCACATTCAATTTCAGTATTAAACGATTACAAGCTAGCTAGCTAATCAAAAGCAGCCTTTGCTAACTGTGCATTCTGAACTAAAGGCTTCGGGTAGCCAATGATCATCAAAGACATTAAAACATTCATAATGTCACGATTGCTCATTTTACAGACATGAGTTAAGTTAAAGACAGGCAGTAAACAGAGCTTCACTCTCGGTCTCACGTAAGCACCCCGACTATAATAATTTATAACAACCACTGAGAACCATGCTGAGACTGCTCTTAAAGCAATGTCCCATTAGTGTTCACATAGCCTGAATAAAAATACAACTTTTTGTTACTATTTAGGAAGATGGCACCAATGACTTAAAAGTGAAATTTTCATATATTGTATTTAAATTATGTGTGGTTGTTAGAAAAATTCATTCATTCATAGGCTATCGATTTTGCGGGCATTGGTTATACTGTCTTTCCAGTCTCTAAATATTTTGGGCCGTCTTTGCCTCCAGGCAAAATCAAACAATAACGCCATATATTTTTTGTCCGACCGGGTTTTAGAACAACTCGCGAGCGTTCTCAGAAAGTCGATGGACTAAGGGCCGTTTATTGAAACACCTAGAAAAAGACGGACCGTCCAATCCAAGCAGGGGGTAGTCCGTCGCTGATTCGGACGGTCTGTCATGTTTACTGAATCAGCCCCCTGGTGTTTTGTCTTTTTTCCTTTCTCTGTGTTCTCCGTAAACTGACTTTGTGACAGGATTCCTGTAAAAAGCACTTAAAAAATTTAATTGTACTCATTCCAATCACTATATAATTTTTGGTCAAAAATTGCCTAATAGAATAAATAAAACATATTGCATATTTAATGCATTGTGTAATTTTTGGTTTAACAATGACATAAAATTCAGGGCTGCTGTATAGCTCACTCGGTAAAGCATCGCGTTGTGAAGCTGAAGTGACTATCACGTCGCGGGTTCGAGCCCCGCTTCATACCAGCCGGCAGTGGTTGGCAGCTTTTTCAGAGTAGCGCACAATTGGCTATAGCGCTACAGGGTTGCAAATTGGTAAGGGACTGCCGGGAAGGGATTACAATAGTTGCCTTGTTCGTTGCTCAAGCGCCTCCTGTTGGCCAGACGGGCGCTCATCAGGAAGATTCTAAGCCTGGTCATGTCCGGGTATCCTCCGCCCTCGTTCTGAACTTGCGAAGATTCAACCAATGAGTGCGTAAAGAGGCGGTGGTTGACAGGCGCGTGCTTCGGAGGAGAGCCGCGAGCTGTCTACACTCTCCTGAATTGGCAGCAAGGGGTCGCATACGAGCAAGCCTTGTACATAGTTCACCAATTGGGCATTCCAGATTCGGGTGGGATTGGAGATGCCAAATTAAAAAAAAAAAAAAAAAAAAAAATGTTATAAAATTCAGTGGATATTTAATGTATTGTATTTAAAACTGACCAACCTCCATATCAGTAAGAGCAGTCTCACAGGCCAGCCTAATAATTGTATGCGACTAGACATTTCACTTTATATTACAATTAATTTTATCAGTGCCACCTAGCACATTATAAATGTTAAAGAAAGTAATCATTTTCCCAGAAAGGCAATGACTGCTAGCTCTGGTATTCATTGAATTCAGGATAAAAGAGAATGGCTTATTTTGGGTACAGTCACTCAACAGTTTCATAATAGCAGTTATTTTTAATTTCCATTAGTTGCATAAGGGATTGAGTGCATCTAGGGATTTGTCTCACAGGTTATTCTAGACAGACTGAAATTCAATAATGCTACCTGGTAGTCTCAGCATTCAAGAATCGATTGCTGCATGCCCTGCACCCTTGAACTTGACCCATTTCTCTCTAACCTTTATATTTTCTAATGCTTTCATGAAGATAAAATATAATTTGAGTGTTTGCTTCCTGTCTGCTGGGCTGTTGGCTAATGACTAACAGTTTTTTTTTCAGTGAAACATAAATAAATACAAGAAGAAACTCACTCACCTTCATGGTGATTTTATCTCTCTAAGCCTAAAGGCAGTGACATGAACATGAGCTAACAATCCTAAAATGCCTGCAGTTAGCAATGCAGCTGTGGTTACCCCTAATGAATATGGGGGCTCTGAATGTCAATAAATAGTGTCTATAGTGCCTGTGCCCAAAAATTTTACACAAGCCTTCTCATCAATCTGATGGAAACTATTTTGACTACCATTATTTTCATCCACATTGTAGAATGGCTCCTGTGTTTACGCTGCATTTATACTCCATTTTGAAGGATTTTTATTTTTTATCTAAGCCATTAAGCAAGACTTGCTTGTACAATCCATTGACTCCATTGGAAGAAAATCAGATGGATTAGGTTATTGTTATGCCTTTCAGTACTTCAGGGTTGTTCTTACTTGGCTTTCAATATTAAGCATTTCCTGCCATTAAAAGGATTATAATTCATACGGGTACTCCATTATGCTGCCATGTTGCCATCCTTGATTTTATTCTTCATTGTACCTCTCAATTCAGCTTGTCCTTGGCCCAAGCCCAAGACCCTATGCGCATTGTGGTTATATCAAAAGAAGAGCCAGCTTTGTTGCCACTGCCTTTCTCTGCACATAATGCAAAATTATAAAATGTTATGTTCTCTTTTTCTACCTGTTTTGATTTAAATGTTTTCTCTGCAGTCTATCGTGCCGTAATATTCATGTAAACCCCTTTTTCAGATTGCTAGAACTTGTTGAGGATAAAAGTAAAGCCTCCACTTACCTACCTACTTTTAACCCTCAACCAACCCCTCTCCATTGACAATATCAGGTGCATACATAAAGGAATTACAATCATTTTAGTTGGGATAACTCACATATTGAAATGAAAAACCATTTATTGAGTATGATGTTGACCAATATTTTTAGTTGAGGCTGATAAGACCAACATACTTAGTGCATGGACACAAGTACTACCCTGAATTCAGGGAGTAGTTTCATCTACCTCATGAACAAAAGACAGGAACTCCCCTGTGAGCACAAAGTAGATCTAAACAAAATGCGAAAGACAGGGCGGTGGTGGGTTAGCAAAGTCAAATAGCTGCAAAAGAAGCAAAACAACAAAGCAGCAATGGCAAGCCAAGTGGTCACATGATTAGCAGTTTTTGAAGAGTGTGCTCCATTACTGATGTGATGTGTGCTGCTCTGATTGGTTGGTGAGAAGAAACGTTCTCTGAATTCAGCCATGCAGCTGTGGCACGAGTTTCCCGACTGTACTAGAAATGCGCAATGCTTGTACAGTCAGTGCGGATGCATTTATTATAATATCCTGATGCTTTTTACGTTATATTTCTCTGTGTATTCATTTTTTAAGAACATTGGTTCATCAATGGGGAGGTTTCAATGAGGAGATCTGAATTGCACTTCTATAAAAAGCCAGACCAGGCAGTGAACAGGCGCTTTCCTTTCACTTGAGATTACATTTTATCTCAGATGGGAACTTAGCCAAAAGCTGAACAAATGCTGTAAAGAAGAGAAGCCTCTGTGACAGCAGTTATGGCCCAGAACCAAGAACGCACTCAAGCTTGTTATGTGGAGCAGCATTCTTTTTGTTACTCTTCAGAGTAGTAGTACATGATACTCAGAAAGCATAAAGAAGCCGAGCGTATCTGGAATGTGTTTTTCTTCTCTTTACTTAAATCTCGTATCAGTATTTCAGTTCCAAGAGTTATCATTCAGAATATCCAATTGGGATAAATATCTTTAACCCTTTGAAGTGCAGTCCTTTTTGGGCAAATATCCTCCTAAACTGAAGTGCTTACTGTTCTTGAACCACTTTGACTACAGGCATAATCATGGTCTTCTTTGAAAGGTAACACTCAGTAGATTGCTCTCACATAATCAGAATTGCTGAGAATATTACCTAAATTGATAAATAACACTGGAAATATAAGTTTGTGTTTGACAGAAAATGATTCTATGACTGTGTATACATGGATTGGAGTATCCCAGTTATGAGCCTTATCCCGGCTTTGATCATATTCGGGATACAGCGTTTACATACACTCAAGAGAAACCTGGTTATTCATATCCCTGTATATGTTACAAGCAAACTGTAATCAGCCATTTCATGAAGTTTTTTGGAATTTTTTTTTATCAGCCATTTCATGAAATGCCTAAAATCTTTGGGCAATTTATGAAATGACTGAATTGAAACCCAGGCATTTCATGAAATGCCTGATTACACAGTTTTCCTGTAAAATATACATGATGAATACTAATGTCCTGGTTTCTGATTATGGTATCTTATTAGTGCAGGCACCTGTGATGTTTATTTTTTACACCACAAAGCGTGGCAATTTTGATACTTGAGAAAGAAAAGACCACTTTGGCTAATTGTAGGCTTAGCACTATTTATGCCAACATCACATTGCAGATATGGTTTGTCCACTTCATATCCAGCAAGCGACAGGAAATTTTGAACTTGTTTTCAGTTCTGACTGTTGTCAGCCTGTCACTGCCACCGCGCAGAACAAGAGGACAATGGGTGAAGATGCGCAGCCATGACTGGTGGGATAGGGTCTTCATCATGAAGTTTATCAATTTTGAGAACAGAAAACTTTCGGATGAATAGGGAATCCTTCAATCGGCTGTGTGGCGTAGTTAAACCATTCATGAGACCAGAGGAAACAATAGTCCAAGCACTAGTTCCGCTACCCACTAGAGTGGCCATAGTATTATACAAACTGGGCAGTTGTGGGGAATTTGTGTACATGTTCTGTGCAGTATGGTGGATAAAGCCATGAGCCACAATCAATGACTATGTTTACATGAAAGACAAAACTCAGTTTCTTCTTGGCTCCAGAAGCAAGACACTGGTATTGGCGCCGCTGTGTTTGTTTTGATGGTACGTCACCTGATCGAGGCTGAGGCTGTGCTGGGAGTCGGCAGCAGTCAGAAACCAGGGTAAGGCGTATACGTGCCACAGCATCGCATTTTCTTTTGGAGGTAGCAAAATCGGGTTTCTGAAAAATCCAAAATCGGGATATGATGTTTCCATGCACGAACACAAAAACGGGATACTCAAGTCCATGTAAACGAAGGCTGTCTTCTTCTGCCCCTGAGGGGCTGTGATGCAACAAGATTTGCACACATGGATTTGGGGATTTTCTCCTATTCTTCTCAGTAGATTCTTTCAAGCTATGTCAAGTTGGATGGGGACCGTCAAATAGACAGCCATTTTCAGGTGTCTCCAGAGATGTTCCATCAGGTTCAAGTCATGGTTCTGGCTGGGCTACTCAAGGATATTCACAGAATGAGAGTCCTTTCAGTGCTTTTTTTTTTTGCAGACTCCAAGCGGGCTGTCATGTGTTTTCCACCGAGAAGCAGCTTTTGTCTGTCCACGCTGCCATAAAGCCCCGATCAGTGGAGTGCTGCAGTGATGTTATCCTTCTACAAATTTCTCCAATCCCCGCACAGGATCTCTGGAGCTCAGCCAGAGTGACCATTGGGTTCTTGGTCACCACTCTTACCAGGCCCTTCTCCCCCGAATGTTGAGTTTGGCTGGGCGGCCAGCTGCAGGAATTGACCAGATTGTTAAAAACTTCTTCAATTTAAGAACTATGGAGGCAACTGTGCTTTTGGGAATCTTCAATGCAACAGAACATTTTTTGTAGCGTTCTGCAGATCTGTGCCTCGACACAATCTTGTCTCTGAGCTCTGCACGCAGCTCCTTCGACCTTGTGGCTTGGTTTATGCTCCTATATGCTTTGACTGCTGTGAGACCTCCGTTCGACCAGATTCATTCTGTCTTCTGTTTGTTAACAAAATATTGTTTTCTTTTACTTCAGACAGAAGGTTGAGATGCTACTCTTACCATGACATGTTTCAACTGTCGTCTGCAGTCTGACTCAGAAGAGTCATCTGAAATGCTATAGCGCATCAGATTATCAGCTGTTTTCCGCTGTAGGCGTGACGGGCGTGGTAAACCTGTCAGATCCACCAGGCCGGTCACGCCCCCCGCCGT